CTATTTTTGTATGATAATTATGGGTTTTGTATTTTATTTTAATAGAAGTTGATGTTGCTTTTGCAATTATCCATCAATTTTTTAAAATTAAACACTATCTACAGATTTGCATCGAAGCGTTTCTTATGATAGTGATTTTAATCACTGTCAGATTAAATCTATACTGGACCCTACTATGCAATGTCTCCACTATGCCGCGACCCCACTGTGCTACCGTTTCTTTTTTTTTTTTGTATTTTTACAGTATTTTGATTTCTTATTAATATATCTATTCAAATTTCTATTCTGAATAATATATTTTTTTTTTATCTTTAAATACTCTTACCTATCGAATATTTGTTTAATCAAACATTACTTAATCGTTAAAATTGAATTATTTATAATTATTTAACTGTGATTTTAGCTTCGATGCGAAGCGGAGAAGGTATTAATTTTACTATGATGTGTTTTTTTTTTTTTTTTTTTTTTTTCCGTTGCCACTTTTTCTCAGCTCTCGCTGGACCGATTTCTTTCAAAAATACGTCAAAAGATCACAAATCGTATCTAGTTGAAGACATTACCCTTAAAAATTGAAAAAAATTCCCTCGTTCCCCGCAAATGGGGGAAATATCCAAAAAAATTACAAATTTAAAAATCGCTAATTTTCGAAATTTTTTCATTTTTTTTTCTTAAAACTTCCATAACTTTTTGAAAAATCAACAAATCAACAGAACTTTTTTTTATACTAAAACCTTAGATATTTCCCTTTTATTTGATATCATTTTTTTGAAAATCTAACACTTAACCTGTTCATTGGGTGGGATATAAAATAGCAACTTTTTTACAAAAACTAACTTTTTCAACTTAATTTTTGAAAATGTTCCGGAAACACTGCGTCCTTCAAACATATATCAAATTAAAGCTTATTTTATGTACTATAAAATGAAAAAAAAAATTTGTCCAGACGACCTATCTTCTATGAGCAAAACGGCTGCCGTAGTTAAAAAAACACTATTTTTGTGTTAAAATTTTCGATTTTNGTCCCGACACTTACACATTTTCTTCTACATTTAAACGGCTGCCGTAGTTAAAAAAAACACTATTTTTGTGTTAAAATTTTCGATTTTAAATTTTCAACTTAAACTTAAAAATGCTATAACTTTTTGAAAAATGTATATATCAGCACAAATTTTTTTTTTCTAAATACATTATAAGTACATCTTTCATTTGACATACTTTTTATTAAAATTGGACAATTTCCCCTTATATAGGGGGCGTTCAAAACTTAAAATATTGTAAAAAACATAGATCTTTTTCAACTGAACTTTTGAAAATGTTCCGGAAATACTGCGTCCTTTAAACATATATCAAATCAAAGGTTATGTTATATACTATCAAATGAAAAAAAAAAATTTGTCCCGACATCTTATCTTCTATGTGCAAATGGCTGTCGAAAATTTAAAAAAAAATGTAATGTTTGCGATAAAAATTACCTTTTATCGGGATGTTTTTTGTACTTAAAACTGCCATAACTTTTTCAAAAATGAACAAATAAAAATAATATTTTTTTGTATTGAAACCTTAGATATTTCCCTTTCATTTGATATAATTTTTTTTGAAAATCTAACACTTATTCTGCTCACTGGGGGGATTTAAAATAGTAACTTTTTTACAAAAAATAACTTTTTCAACTTAATTTTTGAAAATGTTCCGGAAATACTGCGTCCTTTAAACATATATTAAATTAAAGCTTATTTTATGTACTATAAAATGAAAAAAAAAAATTTGTCCCGACGACCTATCTTCTATGCCAGTGGTCGGCAACCGGCGGCCCGCGGGCCGTATCCGGCCCGCGTGGCTATTGAATACGGCCCGCTTTAAATTCTAAATCGACTAATTTAATTGAATATCATTTTGTATAAATATAATTGAACGTTGCGTTTTTGGTACGGGTATTTTATATAAGTCATATTATTATTTTAAGTTTTAGATAGTATTTTTTTGCATAATAAATAATGTAATTATAAATTTTTTTTTTTTTATCTGGCCCGCGAACTCTTTTTAATTTGTAAATGTGGCCCGAGAATTAAAAAAGGTTGCCGACCACTGTTCTATGCGAAAATGGCTACTATATTCAAAAATATGCTATTTTAACAAATTTTTTTTTTTTAATTTAACACTATCTACAGATTTGTATCGAAGCGTTTTTTATGATAGTGATTTTAATCACTGTCAGATATCATTTATACTGGACCCAACTATGCCACGACCCCACTGTGCCGCCACCCCACTGTGCTGGGTTTTTTATTTTTTGTTGTTATTNGCGTTTTTTCTGGTGGAATTTCATGTTTTATTTAGTATAAAAAATTACATCACAATAACTCACCTTGATTTTATACACTATTGTCTTGCTGTAACCAAATCATCGACATTTTTCATTATCTTCGTAGCGCGTGCAAGAGACACTCCTGAATCATACGTCGATAGCACTACCGTTAACAGTTTCTCCGAAGAAGTAGGAACCACAGACTAAATGGTTTGTGTTAGTAAGGATTTTTGTTACTCTAATTGCGCATATTTTATGTATTCTCATCACCAACTAGATAAAAATGCGCTTCGTTTGTACATAAATGTCTGTCTAAAATAAAATCACCATTATTGGTTTCTTCGAGTGCGCGTTGGCAAAATTCTCAAAGCGTGATCAGTGGCCAACAATTGTTGAGTCATTAACATCTTATAAGGATGAAAATGTCTTTGCAAAATGCGTCGTACCGTAAGCTCTATTAATTTCAAGGTGGGCCGTATGTTTTCAAAAATAAATTTTTTTTTAATGCAGTGTACACGCGTTCAATGTTTTCTGGCGTTCGAAATTTTAATTTATTTGCAACACCTTATTAGAAAATTTTTCATCCATAAACGCATTGTTGCTTCAGTTGATATTGGTTTGGTCGACTGTATTGACATGTTTACGAAATGCGCGTTTAATAGTCATATAAGATTCCTGACTTTTAAAAAAGTATTTCAATTGCGAATGTGCAGTGTTTCGCTTCCTTTCGCTCATCGCGTTAAATTGCTACTGGAAACAAAATGTGACAGACAAGACTACCACGTGTTCGTACTTTCAATCACCAAATTTTAGCATCGATGTGAAGCTGATAAGGTATTAATTTTACCATGATGTGTTTTTTTATGTGTGTCTGTTGCCACTTTCTCTGCTCTCACTGGACCGATTTTGATAAACAATATGTCAAAAGATCACAAATCGTATCTAGTTGAAGACATTACCCTTAAAAATTGAAAAAAAAATCAATCGTTCCCCGTAAATGGGGGATATTACAATTTTTAAAATCGGTAAATTTTCTTAATTTTTTTCACTTTTTTTTCTTAAAATTGGCATAACTTTTTCAAAAATTATCAAATCAACCTAACTTTTTCTTTATGTTGAAACCTTAGATACTTGCCTTTCATTTGATATAATTTTTTTGAAAATCTGACCCTTTACCTGCCCACAGGGGTGGATTCAAAATAGCAACTTCTGCACAAAAATTTAACTTTTTCAATTTAAGTTTTGAAAATGTTCCGGAAATACTCAAAGCTTCAAAAATATGTTAAAATAAAGCTAATGTTATGTACTATAAGTTAAAAAAAAAAATTGTACCGATAACTTATCTTCTATGTGAAAAAATGCAAAAAAACATGCAATTTTGGTGTTAAAATTTAAGATTTCATATTTTATTTTTTCAACTTTAAATTATTATAACTTTTTTACAAATGTATGGATCAATACAAATTTTTGTTTCTAAATAAATTATATACATATCTTTCATCCGATATACGTTTATTTGTAGATTGGTCCATTACCCTTTATACAGGAGGATTTAAATTTTTAAAAATACGAGTAAAAAGTAGAACTTTTTCAACGTAACTTTTGAAAATGTTGCGGAAATACTCCGAGCTTCAAATGTATGTCAAATTAAATATAATTTTATGTACTATAAGTTCAAAAAAAAAAAAATTGTCCCGACACCTTTTCTTCTGTGTGCAAATATCCGTTAAATTTAACGAAAAATGTAATTTTTAAGTAAAAATTACTGTTTAACATGAAATATTTTAATACTTAAAACTGCCATAACTTATTGAAAAATGAACAAATTAAAATTATTTTTTTTATATTGAAACTGTTCGATCCATTTTTTTCTTTTGTATGTATTTTATTATTGTATGAGATAAGCGCGTTTACCCGGTGCGTACCGGTTTCTTTTATTGTATTTTTTATCGTAGTCGAACGATGAACTCGTCATCGAAAAAGACGGTACGACGCGCACGCCAACATGTGTATGCAAAATAAAGTATTATAAACTAAGCGAAAAGTGTTAAGTTTTATCTAGTTTCTTACTAAATAAATAGTTAAAAGTAATCGTATTTATACAGTCCACTCTGAGACCAAAACATGGTCCTTCATCCGCGTTTCTATATCAGCGTCATGAGTTTTATTTAGTTAAAAGTGTCGATTTATAAAGATTAATAGAATCTTTATCAAAGTGCAGATGGTTTAGTTAAACCTCGCAAATCAAAATACGATTGATTTGCCTCTGTGCCGTGCTACACAATATAGTGTATTGCACATATAGTAACTGTGCGATTTAAAAAAAAGCACGTAAGTTCACCATAAAGTGTACTTGAAGGTCATTGGGACCAACGTATTTGTGTTTTTTCTCACGAAAGTATTAATATCGGCGCCATTGTTATTCCAATTGGATTACCTCTAGAGATAAGTTCAGCATCGAAAGAATTAATAGAAAATTTGGAAAACCAAGGTAAGAGTCGCCTTCCTAATATTTCCTGTCCGTATTTATTTTAGTATATCGTATATGTGATTTTATATGTAATTTTTAGCTTCGATGCGAAGCGGAGAAGGTATTAATTTTACTATGATGTGTTTTTTTTTTTTTTTTTTTTTTTTTTTTTCCC